GCAATAAGTCAAGCAGGGAAAGACAAATACTGGATGATATCCTTTATATGCAGAACCTAAAAAATACAACAAACTTGTGAATGAAACAAAAAAGAAGCAGACATAGAAAATAAACTAGTGGTTACCAGCAGCAAGAGAAAAGGAGGAGAGGGGCAATATAGGGTTGAAAAGTAAAAAATAAAAAGAAAAAAACCAAACAAAAACACATGGGTTGCAGGGAACCAAGGAAAGAATACACATTTAACAAAAGGTTAATTTGCTTTAGAAAGTAATGGGTGGGGAATGCAAAGAGTAAAATGATCTGTATAATCTTTTCTTCACTCAAGATCATAATTCTCACATTTGTGCTTACCCAACTAGCATTTATTGATTCAACTTCTTCCTGATCAAATGAGTGGTTTTAACATTCTGGTTGGAAACTTCAGGTAAGAAATTTTTAAATCTTACAATAAGCAGTATGTAAGCAATGCATAATGTATACATGGACTTTGTATTTTCTTCTAAAAAGTATCAGTCATTACCAGGTTGGTAGTTAACTTCTTATTTGTTTTATTACTTCTCTTAAAAAAAATGTTCAGGTTTTTTTGAGATAACTTGAGTTCCTCCCCACCTTTACTTCAGTGTTACACTTCACAATAACTTTGTAGATATTAAGGGCATTGTATGATAGAGCAACAATTTGTAAGTTTTATTAAATGTGAGTTCAAGTGCCTTTTTAGAGCTTCACTCTAAGTGGAGAGTTTATTTCTTCCTCCTTAGCCAACACAAAAGGAACAAATAAGATTTATACTAATGTACATTGAAAGCAAATGTGATTCTCACAAGTGGCTACTTTGTTCTCTAAGGTAAAACATGAATAAAGATTAGGTTGTCATCCTTGGTGGGTATTTTATTTTTTTAATATTGTTCAGTGAATTTTTTATATCAAAAAATATACACATATCTCAAATAAATCTCAAATGAGGTAAAAGTGGTTAGAACTCAGTCGTGTCTGACTCTTTGTGACCCCATGGACTGTGGCCTTCCAGGCTCCTCTGTCCATGGGATTCTCCAATCAAGAATATTGGAGTGGTTAGTAGTTCTTCCTGACCCAGAAATCAAACCCGGATCTACAGGTTTGCAGTCAAATTCTTTACCGTTTGAGGCATGAGGAAAGCCCACACAAATCTCAAATAAGTACATAAAGTCAAATTTATTTATTAAAAAAGGAAAATTTAAAGTTTCTTTAAGAAAATCCTGTTGTGTAAAAAATAACCAATTTTGGTATTTTAAATACTATGCTTACTTCTTTTATGCAATTAGGTAAAGCACATATTTTATTATCATCATTTATGGGGGCATCAGAGGATGAGATGGCTGGACGACATCACCAATGCAATGAACATGAACTTGGGCAAACTTTGGGAGTTGATGAGGGAAAGGAAGGCCTGGCATACTTCAGTGCTTGGAGTAGCAATCAGTTGGACACTAATGGGTGACTGAAAAGCAACATGATAAAAACACTTGTATATACTAACCTTTGTTTACATTTGTTAGCTGTTTCTTTGAATTCAATTGATTTGACAAATACATTAACCATAGTTTAGCTGTATTCACTCAAAAATTTTCTGAAAAGAGTGTATCGGCTTTTTAATGCTGTTAAGGTCAGAATAATTAAAATCACATTTTCAGATCCTCACATTGGAAAAAAAATATTTTTACAACCTCTTTAAATTTCTATGATCAATATAATTTTTTCATTTATTTTCTATTAGCTCAAGAACATAAAGAAATCTAAAATTTAACCTCAATAGTTTGACAAATTTCTTAATAACTTTCACATTACTGAGATTTTTTAAAGCCAAAAAGTTTATGACATGAGTGGTTTCTTTTGTGTACATTGCTCATCACTAATGTCCAGATACTTCTAACTCCAAGATGAGAGACATATATCTCATTTCTCATAAAGACTTCTCTATCTCTATCACCCCGTCTGAAAACAGTCTCTACTCTGTATAGCTCTGAAATATTTATCTGATGACCTGCATCATTTCATCTGAAGATACTCAGCATTTTCCCCCATTAAGAAAAGGAATTCAAATAGAAAGCTAGTAGATTTTAAGCATGTCTTTCTCTCCAGGCACTACGCTTGCTGCTTAGTCAGCATCATTTTATTTATTTAAAGATGTATTTATCTTATACATTGTATTTATAATTTCATAATTTATAGTATCTATTATATAGTTGTTCATTTATTATATGTTACAATATTTTATTATCTATTTTATTGTATGATTTTACACACACAAAAAGCATCTTAAGTTGTTTTCAATTATCATTTTCTAGATAAAAAATCTAAGTCTCACAAATACTAAGCAGCGCAATGTTAAGCTAGGATTTTTTGGCCTCTGTGTGTGTGTGTGGTGTGTGTGTGCTCAGTGGTGTCTGATTCTTTGGGACCCTGTGGACTACAGTCTGCCAGGCTCCTCTGTCCATGGAATTTTTCCAGGCAGGAATACTGAAGTGGGTTGCCATTTTCTCCTCCAGGGGATCTTCCCGACCCAGGGATCAAACCCAAGTCTCCTGCATCCCCTGCATTGGCAGTGAGTTCTCTACCACTAGCACCACATGGGAAACCCCGCTTTTAGCCTATCTGATTCTAAAAACAATTTTCTTTTTTAATAGCATCATGTTGACTTTAATATGGGCTTCCAAGGTGGCAGTCCTGGTAAAGAACCTGCCTGCCAATGGAGGAGACATAAGAGATGTGGATTCGATCCCTGGGTCAGGAAGATCCCCTGGAGGAGGGCATGGCAACCCACTCCAATATTCGTGCCTGGAGAATCTCATGGACAGAGGAGCCTGGTAGGCTACAGTCTACAGAGTAACATAGAGTCAGACAAGATTGAAGTGACACAACTTCAATATACTATGCTGCTTTTTGTTACATTTATGTACACAATTTTTTCATGTTCCTCTGAGAGACTGTAAGATGAATGTAAGACCGTAAGTATCTTTTCAATTCTTCTTTTGCCTAGTAGGGAGTTCTATGCTTAGTAGGTACCTAATAGACACATATAACCTGAATAAAGACAATATCTTAGTTGTCTAAAACTGGATTTGATTCCCTGCTAGTAAATAAAATGAACAAAATAGCAGTACATTGTGACCAGTTGTTCATCCTAATGGATCAACTATTTTAAAGTCTCCTGGCAAGTGACCATGGACCACGGGGACTCCAGCAGCTGGATATTTTGTACATACTATAAAATCCTACTGCACAGAATCTTGAACTGAAATCCATCCCATGAACTGTCTTTTATCACTTTGTTAAGCTTTGAATAGTATTTTGTAAAATGTAACAACTGTTTTAATAAAGCAGTTGCTGTTTCACTACAGATTATCTTTGGTGATGTGGAGCTCAGAAGGAACATCACTAAAAAATATAGGATTTCTAACTTTGATAGATTTATTAAAACCAAATGAGTCACCTTTACTTATTCACAAACATACATATGCACAGCTTTCATAGGGATCATTTTACTGGGATGACTTGATTCTGCATTATTCTGTATGAGTTACACAAATTTATATTGCACATTTTATTAATATACTGTGTCAACATGTTTGGCACAGTTTATGGTTCGTGTGTGTGTGTATATATATATATATGCATATATATATATATATATATATATATATATATATATATACATATATACAGGTGCCTTATAGTTGTTAAGAATACATGATATACTTTCATGAAGTTATCTATCCTAGTGTTTAATACAGTAGGTTCTGGGGGCAGAGAGCCTTAAGATTATTATTACCAGTTCCTTTATTTTGCTTTATGAATTTATCAAGGTACTCAACTTCTCTGAGGAATGATTCCTTCTTATTTGGGAAGAAATTATAGCACCTACCTCACTGGATCTTTTTTTCTTCTAGTGAAAAATAAATGAGGTTAATACACATAAGGCACTTTGCATAATATATGACACATAGTGGAGCACTTAAATGCTAGCAACTTTAAAAATCTGAGTCTAATTGTAAAGTAGTTATTCACAAAGACTTAGCTAACTTTTGAGCAGCACTTTCAACAGATGCATGCTTGAATTAGCAATTTTCCTCAAATAGCTCCAATTCACATGTAAAATTGTCCACTGTCTCTTGTATATATTACTTGTAGTTTATTTAGTAATTTTTTGTCAGTGATTCATTAACATAAAATATTTTCCGAAACATATTATTAAAGTACTAATTAACATTACAGTCACTTATGTTTGTTTGTACTTTCAATTTTGTAAGTATTCCTTGCAATAATTTTATCTATTAATGGGACTTTCCTTCTGACTCAAATGGTAAAGAATCTGCCCATCACGCAGGAGACCTAAGTTTGATCCCTGTGTCAGTAGGAACCTCTGGAGAAGGGAACGGCGACTCACTGAAGTATTCTTGCCTGGACAATTCCATGGACAAGCCTGGCAGACTATGAACCAGGGGGTTGCAAAGAGCCAGACATGACTGAGTGACTAACATCATCTATTAGTAATTAAAAACTTCTTAACAAGCTTAATTATTGCTAGTGACATTATAAAATATATATTAAATATTAGCAAATCTATAGCATTAGCAACTCTACATTTTTGAGTAAGTTCGACTCTATCTGGAGTTTTGGTACCTAGGTCTGAATGGAGAGTTGAAATACACAGTATCTTTAAGCAGCTTAATAGTAATAATTTAACAATTATAAGATGCAAAGGAAGGGTTGAAGGATCAAGTTCAAGAAAAGCATAAGACAGCGAGATTCATAACCAAAGCTAAAGCAGCAGGCTGAGAAATGCACAATAAATCTGTAATTGCCATAAAATTATGGTTATAGACCTACCACAACTAATGTCATTTTTTATAGAGAAGTTTTGAATCAAATATGAAAAGTAATTTGTCTTTCCTTTTTGCTTAAAAAGCAGAGAAATTTGTTTGCGTCACACCTCATCGAATCTTCTACATCAAGCAACATCATGTTGAACAAGATCATTCTACTGTTGTCTCTTCAGATAAGTCTCCTAGGAACCACTTTTGGCGGGAATGTTCTGATTTGGCCAATGGAAGGTAGTCATTGGCTAAATGTTAAGATAATTATAGATGAGCTGATTAAAAAAGGGCATAACGTGACCGTTCTAGTTGCTTCTGGTGCACTTTTCATCACACCGACCACCAGCCCATCTCTGATATTTGAAATATATGAGGTACCCTTTGGCAAAGAAAGAGTAGAAGGAGTGATTAAGGACTTTATTTTGACCTGGATGGAACACAGACCGTCTCCTTTAACCATCTGGAGATTCTATCAAGAGATGGCCAAAGTCATGAAGGACTTCCACATGGTGTCCAGAGAAATCTGTGACGGTGTTCTCAAGAATGAAAAGCTAATGGAAAAGCTGAAGAAAAGCAAATTCGAGGTCTTGGTGTCAGATCCAGTCTTTCCTTGTGGTGATATAATAGCTTTAAAATTGGGAATACCATTTATCTACTCCTTGAGGTTTTCTCCAGCCTCAACAGTGGAAAAACACTGTGGGAAGGTACCATACCCTCCTTCCTATGTTCCTGCTATTTTATCAGAACTCACCGACCAGATGTCTTTCACTGACAGAGTAAGAAATTTCATTTCCTACCATCTACAGGACTATATGTTTAACACTCTGTGGCAATCGTGGGATTCCTACTATAGTAACGCTTTGGGTATGTTACATTTTTATTATTTAAGTTTGAACAGACAGAGCTTTGTATCACTTCTTCTCTGTTTCCCTATGGCTATTCTTCTCCAACCCTACGTATTGATTGCTATCTATTACTATCATTTGCTATCAAAAATGAAGATAAGAGACACTATGCTTTGGAGCTACAATGTGCTGTTTTCTAATTTTATGGATTTGAAGATACCCAATATGATTTTTTTTTTTTGGATAACATTTTGTGACAAATACCAAAGTTTAAAAATAGGACTAAATTCTCAGTTAGATATTGTATTGAAAACAGAAATTGCCTAGAAACTCTAGTGGGATGTGGAAAAACTCATTAAGCTTTCTACAAGCCCATTACCAGTAGAAACATTTGTGCATGTGTGTTGAAAAATATTATATGTTTATGAAAATGTTTGATTGTTGCACATAGACTTCCTACTGTGTACTAGACACTCTCTAGATAGAGAGGTTACAACAAGGGCTGAGGTCAAGTTCCTGGCTTCAAGGATTTCACAGTCAAGCAGAGAAACCAGACATAAAAATGAATATTTACAATATAGATGATATGAGTAATGGAAATAAGTATAAAGGACAGAGATAGTATTAGATTGGCCAAAGAAGTTTCTTCAGATTCTCTCATGTCTTATGGCAAAAATATAAAGGAGACAAGCGGTATGTGATAAGAGAGTGTTATTCTAAAAACTTCAGAATTGAGGTGTTCCATCTCAGAAGGAAATTTCAGGAATTTCCTGAAAACTAAATGTAGGGAAGGAAGCAATGTGCCCAATATTGTGGAGTCTTAAAATAACATATGTGTGCTGGATATTATTGATGGTTCAGTATTCAGTATTCATGAAGGTTAAAGTGTAAAAGTCAGGAAGCGTGAGGAATAACTTTGGAGATGTCAGGAAACGTAGGCCATTGCATCACTCCTGGAAAGATGTGATAAGAGCATGCATGAGTGAAGTAGCTTATAAAGAAAGAAAAACAATGCAGATAATGCATTTAGGAGAACAGGCTCATGATAACCAGTTTTCAATCAAGAGTGTGTGACCATGGAGGTGTAATTAAGCTCCCTTGTACTTGCAGTTATTTATCCAGATAAGAGGGCTACTGAAATAACTGAGTTAATGTATAAAAGGATTTTAAGATAGTGTCTAGGAGCTAGTGACCAATCAATTTGTATTACCTCATTATTAGGTAAAATTAATGAAGTGATAATTGATTGGTGTGGAGTATTAATAAGGATAAGGAAGAGATTAATATGTTTTTTTCTTCAGATATTAATTGACATGCATGCATGCTTAGTGGTGTCAACTCTTTGTGATCCCGTAGACTGTAGCTTGCCAGGCTCCTCTGTCCAAGGGATTCTCCAGGCAAGAATACTGGAATGGGCTGCCATTTCCTTCTCTGGGGATCTTTCTGAGCCAGGATTCAAGCCTGTGTCTCTGACATCTCCTGAAGTAGCAGGTGGATTCTTAACTACTGAACCACCTGGGAAGCCTGATATAATTGACATATAACATATTACTTTCAGATATAGAGCATAATGGTTTGATATTTGTATATATTGCCAAATGATCACCACAATGAGTCTGGTTAACATCACCCAGCCAGCACATAATGTTTTTTCCTTGAATTAGTAATTTAAAAATTAACTCTTTCAGCAGATTTCAAATATACAATACAGTTCATTATTATTAATGATAGTCACCATGCGGAGAAGGCAGTAGCAACCCACTCCAGTACTCTTGCCTGGAGAATCCCATGGATGGAGAAGCCTGGTGGGCTGCAGTCCATGGGGTTGCGAAGAGTCGGAAACGCCTGAGCGACTTCACTTCACTTTACACTTTCATGCATTGGAGAAGGAAATGGCAACCTACTCCAGCGTTCTTGCCTGGAGAATCCCAGGGACAGAGGAGCCTGGTGGATGTCATCTATGGGGTTGCACAGACTTGGACACGACTGACGCAACTTAGCAGCAACAGTAGCAGCATAGTCACCATATTGTGTGTTATATCCTCAGGACTTATCTAAATATTTTAAACTGGAAACTTCTACCCTCTGATCTACCCTCTCTCCTCTAATCTCTGGCAGCCACCAATGTGGTGGTATCTACAAGTTAAGGTTTTATTTGTTTTAGGATATAAACATAAAAAGATTGTATGGAATCTGTCTTTTTCTATCTGACATTTCACTTAGCACAATGTCCTCAAGGTCCAAGGTCCATCCATGTTGTCATTTGGGATTTTTTCCTTTGCTATGCCTAGATAATATATATGTGTATGTGTGTGTGTGTGTGTGTGTGTGTGTGTGTGTGTGTGTGTGTGTGTGTAGCCAAGATATGAAAACAACATCAATGAATAAATAAAAATGTGATATTACATGTAGCTATTGTAGATGATGCTACAATTAACATGGGTCATAGATATTTTTTGAATTTAGAAATACAGGAAAACAATAGAATGGGAAAGACTAGAGATCTCTTCAAGAAAATTAGAGATATCAAGGGAACATTTCATGCAAAGATGGCCTCAATAAAGGACAAAAATTGTGTAGACCTAACAGAAGCAGAAGATATTATGAAAAGGTGGCAAGAATACACAGAAGAACTCTACAAAAAAGATCTTCATGACCCAGATAATCACGATGTTGTGGTCACTCACCTAGAGCCAGATATCCTGGAATGTGAAGTCAAGTGGGCCTTAGGAAGCATCACTATGAACAAAGTTAGTGGATGTGATGGAATTCCAGGTGAGCTATTTCAAATCCTGAAAGATGATGCTGTGACAGTGCTGCACTCAATATGCCAGCAAACTTGGAAAACTCAGCAGTGTCCACAGGACTGGAAAAGGTCAGTTTTCATTCCAATCCCAAAGAAAGGCAATCCCAAAGAATGCTCAAACACCCGCACAATTGCACTCATCTCACAAGCTAGTAATGCTAGCATGTGTAATGCTCAAAATTCCCCAAGCCAGGCTTCAGCAATAAGTGAACTGTGAACTTCCAGATGTTCAAGCTGGATTTAGAAAAGGCAGAGGAACCAGAGATCAAATTGGCAAAATCTGCTGGATCATCGAAAAAGCAAGAGAGTTCCAGAAAAACATCGAAAACATCGACTTCTGCTTTATTGACTATGCCAAAGCCTTTGACTGTGTGGATCACAATAAATTATGGAAAATTCTGAAAGAGATGGGATTACCAGACCACCTGACCTGTCTCTTGGGAAACCTGTATGCAGGTCAGGAAGCAACAGTTAGAACTGGACACGGAACAATAACTGGTTCCAAATCAGGAAAGGAGTTATGTCAAGGCTGTGTATTGTCACCCTGCTTATTTAACTTATATGCAGAGTACATCATGAGAAATGCTGGGCTGGATGAAGCACAAGCTGGAATCAAAATTTCCAGGAGAAATATCAATAACCTCAGATATGCAGATGACACCACCCTTATGGCAGAAAGTGAAGAAGAACAAAAGAGCCTTTTGATGAAAGTGAAAGAGGAGAGTGAAAAAGTTGGCTTAAAGCTCAACATTCAGAAAACTAAGATAATAGCATCGGGTTCTGTCACTTCATGGCAAATAGATGGGTAAACAGTGGAAACAGTGGCTGACTTTATTTTTCTGGGCTCCAAAATCACTGCAGATGGTGATTGCAGCCATGAAATTAAAAGACGCTTACTCCTGGGAAGGAAAATTATGACCAACCTAGACAACATATTAAAAAGCAGAGACATTACTTTGCCAACAAATGTCCATCTAGTCAAGGCTATGGTTTTTCCAGTAGTCATGTATGGATGTGAGAGTTGGACTATAAAGAAAGCTGAACACAGAAGAATTGATGCTTTTGAACTGTGGTATTGGAGAAGACTCTTGAGAGTCTCTTGGACTGCAAGGAGATCCAACCTGTCCATCCTAAAGGAGATCAGTCCTGGGTGTTCATTAGAAGGACTGATGTTGAAGCTGAAACTCCAATACTTTGGCCACCTCATGCAAAGCGCTGACTCATTGGAAAAGACCCTGATGCTGGGAAAGATTGAGGGCAGGAGGAGAAGGGGACGACAGAGGATGAGATGGTTGGATGGCATCACCGACTCAATGGGCATGAGTTTGGGTAAACTCCGGGAGTTGGTGATGGACAGGGAGGCCTGGAGTGCTTCAGTTCATGGGGTTGCAAAGAGTCAGACATGACTTAGCGACTGAACTGAACTGAGTCTTCATTTCCTTTGATAAATATCCAGAAGTGGAATTGTTGTATCATATGGTAGTTCTATCTTCAGTTGTTTGAGGAGCCTCCATACTGTTTTATACAGTGAACTGTGTCAATTTACATTCCTACCAACATTGCACAAGGGTTCCCTTACTTCACATTCCCACCTACATTTATTTTTTTATTTTTTTGATAATAGTCATCCTAAGATGATGGTAAGGTAATAGCTCATCATGGTTTTGATTTTCATTTCCTTGATGGTTAGTGCTTTTGAACACCTTTTTGTGTTTCTGTTGGCCATCTGTGTGTCTTTGGGAAAATGTCAGTTCAGGTCCTCTTACCATTTTCGGTCACATTGTATGTATTTTTGTTACTAAGTTGTATAAGTTTTTATATACTTTGGATATTAGCCCCTTGTCAGATATATGATTTGCAAATATTTTCTCCCATTTGATAGGTTGCCTTTTTATGCTGTTGACACTTTACTTTTTTTGTGCAGAAGCTTTCTAGTTTGATGTAGTCCTACATGTTTATTTTTGCTTTTATTGACTTTGCTTTTGGTAACAAATCCAGAAAAGCATCCCCAAGATCTATACCAAGATTAGTGCCTATGTTTTCCTCCAGGAGTTCTGTGGTTTCAGTTCAAACTATAAAAGTCTTTAATCCATTTTGAGTTAATTTCTGTATATGATGTAACATAGGGATCCAATTTCATTCTTTTACATGTGGCTGTGCAGTTTTTCCAACACCATTTATTGAAGGGACTGTCCTCTCCACTGTATATTCTTGGCT